AATAACGTAACCAACACCTTGTTGCTTGCTGAGGGAGTTTTATTAAAATCGAACGTTTTCGATCCACTTAACGGATCATCATCAGGCAAGAATATACGAAAATGGAATACATCATAAATGGAATAATAAGTTCAAAAATTCAAAATATCAATAAACTAATAACATATTAATTAATATGAATAAAAAATAAAAATAAAAAATAATAAATTGTAAACGATACCAAATAATAAATAATATACTACAACGACTACACATTAATACTAAGTTTCCTTTAAATCAAATAATTATCATATTTCAGTTGTTGCGCTACTTGTAAGCTTCTTAACGGCAAATTTCCAAGCCGAGGGAAGACCCTCCGCATCCCTAGCATTAATGCAACTGTCCTTAAGTTTGCTCCTATATATCTCCATTTTTTCGGCCGTCTTCGCCAAAGTTGGCGAAGACGGCGAACTTATTATTCCATTTTCGTATATTCTTGCCTGATGATGATCCGTTAAGTGGATCGAAAACGTTCGATTTTAATAAAACTCCCTCAGCAAGCAACAAGGTTTTGGTTACGTTATTAGTCTAATTAACTTAAAGTCTAAAATCGTGAAACTGACAGTTAATACAAATATGAATGTTAACGACATTTACGAATAAATAATGTTCAAAACCTGATTAAAATAGTATTTATAAGCAGTCCTTTAAAAAAAGACAAAAGAAATATCCGAGTTAAAAACGAGAAAATTTCATATATTAAAAGAATATCGAATGTTAATAGCTGATTCTCCCTACGCTCCAGCCAAACGTACACCTAGACGCGATGGAAGCGCTCGAAGTGGCAGAAATATTAAACCACAATAGTAGCATTACAGCTATTGGCGGCGCAAGGACCAGTACATCATGTCTGTACATGTATCGACTCTGATAATTCTGTTTAGCGGTGACACGTTTAACAAATGAGGAAGAAACCGGAAGTAACTTGCCACAACTAAGCCGTGGATGGTCGATGCCGATTGGTTAATAGCAAGCTGATTCTTTCCGTAGACAACTTTAAAAAAAAAAAAACGCTTTCCGTCCTGTGAGCACTAAGAGGGCCTCTTTTTAGCTAGCCCATTATGAATTCGGCTAGGCCCACAATGGAGCGGCCGGGTGGTGAGGGACGGTTCGAGGGTGGCGGAGCCCGACATATCCGAACGGACCACCACTCAAAAATAAATTTCCGGGGATTTTTCCACCCGTCCGGATTCGATTCCGGGTCCCCAGAGCGGGAGTCTTGACCGCTAAGCCATCCAGCCCACTCTGTAAACGGACTATAGATGGAAGGCGTTAGACACTTTGGAATAGAAACTTTGAAAACAAACTGTTACCGCCGACAAATATACGAACGAGTGGCGAAGTCCCTAAAAGTATACCGTCCTTAGTAACTTTGTAATATCTGACACGCGCTAGTTGGCGCGAGCCGGTTTTATTTTTCTTTTTAATCCTTAAATGTCTATCGAGAAGGTTGGCAAATATGCAGACGAGCCGGAGTAGGGCTTCCCCGTTGTGGTACTGGTTTGGTTTATTTACGACAACGTCACGCCTGGGCCATCTGCCCGGAGAGATGTCTGCCGGAAGGACTTTCTACTTTCCGCTAATTCCCTTTTTTGAAATAAGGGAATTCGCGAAAAAAACTTAGGGTCACCAGTGACCAAGCGGTCTTCGTCCCCGAACACTGGGAGTTCGGTCGTGTGTTCGCGCCTCGCTGGGACGGGCTGGCCACGTGGAGTTTTCCGGGTTTTCTCCGCGTCTGTAACGCCTGAATAGGAGCCAGTTTCCCGTCAAACACCTCCCGGAAGGCATTATTTTCCCCGCGGGCGTATAGCCATTCCATCTAAAAGGCCGGCTAATCGGACGCATGCGTCCATATTCTCGTCTCTCGGAGTAAATAGCCTATATGAGCTGCACACTCTGTATTAACCATTTTATGAAAGGAAGAAAGAGGAAAACATTTGAAATTCGGCCACATTTTTAATATACTGTATAGTGAATACTGGACGGATGGCCGAGCGGTCAAGGTGGCAGCCTACTACTGTGGGGGACCAGGTTCGAATCAGGACGGGTCGAAAAATCTCCAGGAATTTTTTTTGGAGGTTGTCCATCCGGATATGTCGGGCCCCGTCCCTCACCACCCAGTCGCTCCATCGTGGGCCTGGTCGAACCCATAATGGGCTCGCTATAAGAGGCCATCTTAGGGTCCACAGGATGGAGTTTTAAAAAAATGTATAGTGAATAAATAAATATTTTCGTTTATATTTCATTTGTTAAATTATATTTCGGTAAACTCCACAAAATATTTTTTGCCGCATCAAAGTTTATGGGGGGGGGGAACCTGTTTAGTTAGACCTAATCGGCCACGGCCGATGACTCCGAAACTCGCGAGGAAATATTTAAAACACCTTTTTATTTTGTAAAACCTTCCTAACATACAACATCTCGTAAGCTAAAACGTGCAAAAAGTAACTCCAATACTTTTTAAATGAATGGCTAATTCCAGAGAGCACGCTCGTCCACTTCCGAATTAAATCCGAAGTTACGAAAGTTACGACAATGGATTTCCACCCCTAACGACGATTTTCCCGCATTATACGAATAATCGTGATTCTATAGTTTGTACGAACGGGAATTCGCCGTTGGGTGTCGAGAAAGTCTGTCTCTGATTAACAAATATTCTCTCTCCGAAGGTCCTATATAACGCCGTAAAACATAAAATATCCTATAACAAACCGTAAAAAACTATAATTGTCAGTTTTTATCCCCAACTAAATCACAGAGAAAGTCTTCAAATTGGCTATACCGCGCGCAAGAAACTCGACCAATCCCTACACCCGGGGGTTACGTACGCGGAAGCATAAAACATTACGTTAACAAATTAATATTTTCTTACGGAGGAATAATGTTGCGCAAAAATAACGTAACGGTACCTTGGCGTGCGTACTGTGTAATATTACACCGTAAGCATATAATATGCGGAGTTACACCGTAATATTACGATAACTGGTATCTAAAGATTCTCGGCTTAGGCCGTATTGAATCTTTAATCTGGCATTGCGGACAACGATTCAGTTGTTTTAGAAAGATGACGATTTATAGTATCCGGATACGACGTAATTCCTAACACGATCGGCATTCGGTGGGAGAGACGACCGCACAACCAATCGAACGAAAAATCTTGGGACATTTTTTGCCGATGGTAAATTACTATAAATTTAGATTTTCGTATTTTACAGAATAAATAAATAAACTTACCTGATAAGTAGCGATGACCCATTTTCTGGCTTCGTTGAATACCCGCTCGTCCGACCATCCCGGATTCTTATTTCGTAGGGTTTCCGCGATGCGATTGTGCCACCGGAACCATAAAATCCCAAAAGTCAACAAGAAGGGGTTCTCGTTGCCTCGGGGATTCCCCAACTCTGAAACGAGAGACGTATATAGAGACACGCGGACACCTGACAGGAAATGGTTAACCATACTTACTAAAGAATCGCGAAACTGGCTTCAAGTAATGATCTTTGGGGGGAGGAGGATTGGCCATGGGTAATCTGACGTCGTTGTAGGCGGGGTACAGACCTCCGTGAGAGGCGGCCAGAGTGCCGTTGACGAAGGATCTGAGGGCGTCGGCCCAAGCCTTAGAAGTGCCGTACATTAAACCGCCGTCGATCCAGGGGGTGATTTCGTTCAGCTGAAACGACCGAGCGCGTAGTACCATGGAAAGAAGGGGAATTCGGAATAACGGGAAAATGTAAACGGCCTACCTGTTGTCTGGGATTGTTTGGAGAGTTTCCGGTATCCACGGCGTATCGCGTTCGTAGGACGGGCATCTCTCTGTGCCCGGTTTTCAGATACTCGTGCCCCTCGGGTATGGGTATGTTGTAATATTCGGGGGGACAAGAGGGTCTCTGAGCGTCCAATATCTCCTCTACTACTTGTTGACCTTGAGAAAATAAAAGAAAAATTTAGATGGAGGTCATTTTCGCCTTTATTTCAAAATTAGAACTTACCAAAAAAGACGAGAAAAGCGGTTTTCCCCGTTTTGGAGTGATTTCCCGAAGCTCCCTTCATCAACGTGTCGCTGAGAGTTATCGGGTTGGGACGATCTTTGGTTTCCACGGGTTTGTAGGATCCGTCGGCGTAGGCGGGTGGCAGAATTCGAATTAAAGGACTATCTGTTAACAAAATAATACACGCGTTACGTCGTGCCAACCGCATCCGGCAAAAACTCTCTCTGGCGAGTGACTTACCCACGGCTCCCAAATTGGGGTGAGCGGCGTTATTGTACCATCCGTCGTATCCCTCGTATTCCACCGGTTCCCTATCGTCGTTGACGTCTTTCAGTAGATCTTCCAGAATCGAATTTTTCCCCCGAGCTAAGACGAAAAATAGATCTTTTAAACAAACTTTCAGTGTTAAGAGTATTGTTTAAATGGAATTATATTGGAAAAACACGAGAATTTCTCGATTCGTGTTCGGATGTGATACGAAAAATGTTTACAACGCATAGAAAATTACGATATTCACCGAAGCAAGCGTGTGGTGGACGCCATAATCTTTACAGTGAAGCCACCCGTTGTGGCCGTATTTGCTTCTATATAATTATTTTTAGCTTCTGGCCACGGATATTTGCATATTGCTGTTTGACATTCGTAATCATTTTTACTTGTTTTAACGAGTTATCAACGGCTGTCGGATGCCAGTGAATTTGTTGGTCTTTCATTTACTAAAACTACAATAGAGAATCGAATTACACATTTATCTGCACCGGGGCACGGAGCAATACCCAGCCATTGTTTAATATAAAGTTTAAGAAATACTCACGCGCCTTATCCTCTATTCGTAGCCATATTGTTTATATTTCACTAGCGCCACCACAAAGTGCGGCGGCAGAATCGAAATCAACCGGCTATTTATAATGTTATAGTCATTACTCTAAAATACTCTAACGCGATATTCTTTTCGTCTCGCCCCGCTGTATGCACGGAAGCTCTGGAAACTTGGCAACCAGATACGTCGCAGCGGTCTTTACGTCACTCGATAATAGAAAGACGTTGGAAATGTGTCATATGGTTTAGTGTATGATTAGTCTATAGAGCAAAGTGTAGAGAAATTATTTTACAATGCCTACTTCTGGTTGCGTGACTTTCCTGGCTGTTAAGAGATTTTATTTAAAAAATAACTTTTATATTATCAATCATACTATTTAATAAACAAATTGTGTGGTGCCATCTGTTATCAGATTTCATCATAAAAAAAACTTTTATGTTGTTAATTATTATAAAATGACAAAAAGCTTAATATTGGGGGTGGAGATGAGTTTTATAAACTATCGTAAATGTTAATAATCAGTAAAATTTTTATTAAATCCTATCCCTCTCCAGACACGACACGTGAACCCTTCTTGACCTTTAACCAGCAAAATATGATGAAATCGATGTCTTTTACGAAAGCCACGGTTCCAAATTTCGTTTCTTAATCAAAATATCTCTACATCCTGAGATATTAAACGAAATAGACACCAACACACACGCATCAAGGAATTCTTTTGCTGTGAAATTTTCCTTCTTTTTTTTACTGTTCTGGGTTTAGATCTCAAAACCCAGATATTTGCAAAACCCTTCGCACCAAATCTGATACGATTCCAATACAGGGCCGTGCCGTGCTACGATGCGGAGATGCGGCCGCATCGGGCGGCACCGTAATGGGGTGGCATAAGCGGCATTTCGAAGACTCGCATCGTACTGAGAAAATCTACCGCACGGCCCTGTTCCAATACTTTCTCTCGTGATGTATCCATAACCGGGTTGTCTAGTAGGATTCATCCATAAATCATGTATCCTGGTTTAAAGGAAAGAGAGGTATAAGACCGCAAGCTAGGAGGAGTGTAAGGGGCATTGGATCTTCCAGAAAATTTGGGAAAAATGAGTAAAAACGGAACAGCTGTAATTCTTATAAGCATAAAATGTTGTCCCAAATGCGTAACCTCAGCAACCAATAAAAGCCCGTGTTCCCATCTTAGTTGTGTTCCCGTATGATTCGTTCTCTGGAGCATTTTTATGCTTACTCGTGAGAATTTCAACCGGGCAACAGGCAGTCCACTTGCAAAGGAACAGCTGTAGTTCGAAACGAAAACTTATTGGAGCCAACGTGGCATTACAAATATTAAATGCAGTATATTCCAAGTGTACGTTTCTTTGTATACACTGTCTACTTGGACCTCGTTTATTAATAAGACTTATCATACTGGTGTAGTTTCTGATTAGCAAAGTTCTTAGTCAAAAATCCTATTAATAAACAAAGCCCGGTGGACAGTAGCCTACATACAGAGAAACGAACGAGGACGTAGAGGTAAAAAGAATTAATATTCCAAGTGTAGTTTGTGTCGCTAAACTTTATTTTTCCCTACTTTTGTTTCCATAGAATAACTTTGAAAGAAAAGGAGGTCTCGAAAAGAAAGACGAGGTAAAGACCATATTCGACCACAAGGGGAAAAGGTTCAAATTAAAACGGGACACATAGTTTACAGACGAATCCTTATATTAGCATTCTTGTTAGCTTTAAATAACTCCGCATCGCTTCCTAATATATTATTCATGTTTTCACAATAGTCGAGGATATTAATTAGTGATGTAACGAATATTCGGTTACTATTCGGTATTCGGCCGAATACCGAATATTTAATCACTATTCGGCCGAATACAGAATACCTAAAGACAGGAGTAATAAATAACAAAAACACAGTAAATTAATCATTTTGGTATTTAGATTTAATGTTATCGAGTTAGTGTTGTTTGTTTATATTTATTTATAACTTGTAACATGCACAAAATAAAAAAGAAAATAATATTAGCCACACGTATTCACAATTTATATTTACAAAGATCAGCACACGTACACGTCTATCGTTGGAGAATCCTCGCACATCTGAGGGTCTGNTTGAAATCCAAGATCTAAGTCTACCGACTTAATCTCCCTCTCTTAGCTGTTCCTAACATTTTTGGCTCAACTTTAATCTCATTAATAAACGCAATAGAAATTGTGAATATCGCAGCTCTTTTCTCACCACAAACTACAATAATTTACCTAATATTAAAAAGTAGCAGACCCCGCCACGCGTTGTTGTGGCTCAAAACGTATCTATTATAAATTTATAACACTTCCCCCGTGGGGGGGGGGGAATTTTTCAAAAAATTTCTTCTTAGTGTACATTCTCTTGGCGTACCCTATTAAAACGCAATCAAAAACGCAAAAACCCGCATCTAAAATAGTATAAAGAGAAGCAGAGTTCTTTACCGTAAGCCTTAATCCTAACCATCTCCCTTCAGGGGTTGAATTTCGACATGTATATTATATAAAAACATGTGCGTATTCAAATGCAGCGTTGTGTCAAAATTTCAAAGGAATTGGTAGGAACAAACGAACATTACATTTTTATTTATATAGATAGATAGAAGATGATC